AATCTCAGCACTTGGGAGGCAGAGGCAGGAGATCTCTGTGAATTCTAGGCCAGCCTGGTCTACAAAACTACACAGAGAAACCCTGACTCGAAAAATCCAAAGCAACAACAACAAAAAAGTTTTGTTGTAAAAGTTAGGAGAAAACATATGTGACCCATTTGTTTTTGCCAAAGGTTAAGATGGAGGATGGGAAAAACTGGTTTGTTAGTATGGAAAAAATGCTTGTTTTGATGTATAAATAAAAAATAAAAACAGCTGAAACTCATCTAGTGGTCAGACATTTCTTCTGGACAACGCCCCTTCCCTGTCTCAGGACCTGAACCCAGGCTGCAATAGGAGCAGGCCATTGGCTGTTTGTTTGTTTGTAACAGGATCTCCTGTAGCCTAGGCTGGTCTTGACCTTCTGACCCTCTTGCCTCCTGCTGGTCATCAGTCACACTCCATCATACCAAGCTTCAATTTTTTGGTCTTTGTTTTTTTGTTTTTAGAAAGCAAAGTGGAGTTGTATACCTAACTACAATCAGGAGAACATATTTTTCTCTTTTTAGTAACTTAGTGTATCTATTGCCTAGATATATTAGCTTACTAGAAGTTATAAAATGCAGGTATTATGTTATGGTGTCTTTATTATTTATTTATTTATTTATTTTTGAGAAAGGGTCTCAAAATAGTTATTTTTAACATATGATAAAAACTTAGATTTGTCAGGAATATATTTCTGTATTTAGTAGCCTAGGAAAACCTGGAACTCTTCAGCTTCCCATGCATTAGGATTAAAGGTTGGTCCCTCAGTGGAACCAGGATGTATCCCTGGTGCACAAAAGGACTTTGGGAGCACATTCCCCATGGAGGGATACTCCCTTAACCTAGAGGCAGGAGGGAGGGCCTAGTCCCTACTCCAAATGACATGACAGATTTTGTTGATCCCTCCTGGAAGGCATCACCCTAACTATGGAGTGGGGGATGGAGGGTGGTCAGGGGGTATGGGAGGAAGGGGGAAGGGAGGGAGAGAGAAGGAGGGAACTGGGATGGATATATAAAATAAGAAAAAAAAAAGCTGGCCTCTTCATGCAGTACATCATCTTCATCTGTTTACTGAGTATTTCTAGAAATGTTCCATTATTTTAAAATAATGGAAAAACACGATAAAGCTGGGAATGGCGGCCCACACCTGCACTCAGGCTTGTGGGAGGGTGGAAGCAGAAGGATCATCTTAGGCAACATTTGAGGCTAACCTTTGAAACTCTGTTTTCAAAAATACAAAACAAAACAAAACAAAAACAAAAACAAAAAAAAAAAAAAAAAAAACAAACAGGGCTGGTTCTACCGTTTGCTCAGTAGACATAGATGCTCAACACCAAGCCTGACACCTTCATTGGATGTCCACATAGTGGTTATGCAAGTTGTCCTGTGACTTCCACTCCTGTGCAACATAAAATACAAAGAAATGTAACAAAAAAATCAAAACAAAACAAAAACAATCTATTTCATTCTTTCCCTTTACCAGCAGTTTTCAAAATGGACTGATACAACACCTTCTCCAGTAAGGAGCAATCACTTTTCACTTTTAAGTATAATTGTGAACTTAGGTTTAAAGTGTTTGGTGTGTTTCAATACAATACATACTGTAACAGGCTTTCTTTTTGGCCACCAACCAGTTCCCAAATAAAGACACAGAGGCACACTCGGTCTTATCTTAGGCTTGTCCCACAAGCTCTTATAACTTTTTTTTTCTGAGACAGGGTTTCTCTCTGGCTTTGGAGCCTGTCCTGGAACTAGCGCTTGTAGACCAGGCTGGCCTCGAACTCACAGAGATCTGCCTGGCTCTGCCTGCTGAGTACTGGGATTAAAGACATGCGCCACCACCAACCAGCTAGCTCCTATAACGTAATCTATTTCTCTTCGGCTATGTTTTGCTTTGGGGCTTTTTACCTTTCTTTCATTCTGTACGTCCTACTCTGTGTCTGACTGGCTTGCAACTGCCTGGCTGGCTGGTCCCAGGTATCCGGTCCAGTCCCCCAACACCCACTCCCACCCGCTTCTCCCTCTTTCTCTTCTCTTCCTTTTCTCTGGAGCCTAGATTGCTCCTCTACTTATTCTCTATGCCCACCAGCCCTGCCTATTTCTCGACTACCTAAATATGAGCTGTTCAGCTTTTTATTAGACCAATCAGGTGCCTTAGGCAGGCAAGGTGAAACATCAACACATCTTTACATAATTAAACAAATACAACATAAGCAAGTGCCACACACCTTTACATAATTAAAGTAATATTCCACAACAACATACAATATCCATTTGATGATTGGTTCTGTCTTTGGCAAGTGACAACTACCATATTCTAGTTGCCTTCTATTTCTTTTGATACATTTTTTGTTTGTTTGCTTGCTTGAGACAGGATCTCACTATGTAGCCCAGGGTAGCCTGGAATTCCTTATGCAGACCAGGCTGACCTAAAACTCATAGAGATCCATCTGCCTCTGCTTCCTGAGTGCTGAGAATAAAGGCATGTGCCACATGCCCAGATTGATACAAATATTTTAAAGCTTTCTTGCTTATCTTGGATAGTTCCTGGCCCCAAATGGAATGAACTATTTCTCCAAGGAATCCTGGGGTTTTTTGTTTGTTTGTTTGGTTGGTTTTTGGGGTTTTTGTTGTTGTTGTTTTGTTTTTTGTTTGTTTGTTTGTTTTTGTTTCTTTCTTCATTTTTTGGCCCTTTTTTGGGGGGGAGTGATAGGGGAGGTTTCTAGTCAGGGTTTCTCTGTGTAACAGCCCTAGCTGTCTGGAAACTAGCTCTGTAGAGCAGGCTGGCCTCAAACTCACAGAGATCCACCTGACTCTGCCTCCCAAATGCCGAGATTAAAGGCATGCACAACCACCACCCAGCACCTTTATTGGTTTTTCAAGACAGGGCTTTTGCACTTATTTGTGGTTTTAGAGTATATTGTAGCACAAACTCTAATTGGTATTAATAATAAAAACCCAGAGACAAATAGAGCAGAGAAGCAAAGTGGCCAGGCACTAGAGAGTTTTCACCTCTACCAGTGTGCAGACCAAAAGGGTGATCATGTACTTAGACTGCATCTCCATACTGCATCTGTCTCCACAAAACCTCAGACTGCACTGAGCTCCTGTCTCTTCATGCCTTATATTCCCCTCTCCTCTCAGCCACATCACTACTGTCTCCACCACCCTAGTCCTGGGATTAAAGGTGTATGATCCCAAGTGCTGGTACCACCTTTGTGTGAGCTGTTCCTCTTTTAGACAGATTCAATCTCATGTAGCTCAGTGTGGCCTTGAACTAACAGAGATCCTTCTGCCTCTGTCTCCAGAGTCCTGGGATTAAAGGTGTGTATGTATCACCATTGCCTGTCCTCTCTGGCTAACTAGTGTGGCTGCTGGGATTAAATGTGTGTGCCACCACTGCCTGGCCTCTATGGCTAGCTAGTGTGGCTAGCTTTGCACTCTGATCTTCAGACAAGCTTTATTTGTTAGATCATAAACAAAATATCACCACAGTAAATGCCACTTTGCATATCATAGACAAATTATTGTCTTAAAGTCACTTGATTAGTTTAGTTGGAGGGGCCTTTTATAGAATACAAGTTCTTCTGATGTAGGCTTATGAGATGGCTCAGCAAAAAGAGGCACCGACATTTGATCACTAGGACACATGTAACTTGGGAGGAGAGCTGACTCCTCTGACATCCACATGGATGTACACACACACAGAGAGAGAGAGAGAGAGAGAGAGATACAAAGAAGGGCTAAATAATGTAAAATATTACAGTATGGTCTTGTATAGTTGAGAAAAAAACTATATATACACATATATATACATACATACACACATGCATACATACACACATGCATGCATACATACACACACGCACGCACACATACATACATACATACACACATGCATACATACATACATACATACAATACCTGCATGCTCCCCACACCTCTGCTTTGTAGACTGTATACTTGTAGAGTATCTGGACCTGTAGACTGAACTGGGTATAGAGCTGACAGGGCCAGAGGCTTTGGTGGCACAATTTGTGAGCAGTCCTGTGCTGCTTTCCCTTGGCCAGTCCTGAGAGATGGTGACCCAGAAATGCCTACAGGTGCAAAAAACAGGGCAGGAATAAATTCCTTGGTTCTAATAATATCTTCAGAAAGTCATAATCTTTCTACAGAAGTATATTCATGGCTCTCTTCTCTCCCAATCCATCCAATCACCTTCCCTTCCCCATGGATCAGTAGTCTTCAAAAGCTTCTCCTCCTCCAATTCCTGGCCTTTGTCTCTGTTATCACCCTCCCTACCCTGCCTTCCCCCCTTCCCCAGGCCAGAAGCTTAGGGGTTTTGTGTGTATTGATGAGGGGGAGAGAGGACAGAATCTTGCACAAACTAGCATCATGGAAACGGTGGAGATGGGGTAGACAGCTGCAGAGATCCCTGCCGGACAGACAGAATAAACCCTCCTCCCAAACAATTGTGCTCTCAAATTTCTCCTAGGGACAGCTGAACCTTTCAGCTCCTGAAATACTCTGCAGATGGGGAGGGTCCCTGAATGAGGCTTGCTGTCCATCTTCAAAGCCATCCATGGAAACTCAATGGGATCTCAGCATAGAAAGGACGGGGACAGTAAATGAAAGGCAGTCACTGCCATTCTTAAAGGCCAGGAGCTCACTACTGAGAACGCGGGAGAACCGGCGGGGAAGGGAAATCATACAAGCTGGAGTTAGATATCTGACTTGCCTGTTGTGTTTCTTTACTCTCTCCCTCACTTGGTACCCAACAAACCATATTCCATCCATTCTGCTTATCGTTCTCGCTGCCTTCACTCCCACACCCTACTGCCACCAACGTTCCTGGAATTTTGGACTTAGCTATTTTTAAAACTGTCAACTCAGTGGCCACCTCCCTCCTCCTCTCAGCTGTTGAGTCCTTGGGCCAGCCATATACTCTCCCTTCCCCCTCTCCCTGCATCAAACCTTCTCTGGCTCTCTGACCTCAGTGAGATTACAGCCAGTCTGGGGAACGGGGAGAGGCATGGAGAAGGAGATGGGGGACCCCTGGCTGGAGCAGGCCAACAGAACAGGCAACTATGGCTGGAGAATCGGGTATCAGAGTAATGTTTGACCTCGGGAAACAGTAAGTCCAGATGAAATTGCAATTGCTTGATAAGTGTTGGGTTGGAGGCAGGGATTTCATAAAATTACAGACACCTGTTCTGAAAACTAAGATTTCTCCTTACCAAGTACCCACCGCCACTCCTCCTGCCTCAGTGTTTTGGTTTCCAAGCCCTGTCTGCTTGGAGTTGAATGCTGCCTCTTCTCCTACCCTCTAATTCCCCTCTGCACTGTATTACACTGAGACTTGGAGTGGGCATTGGGGGGTAGTGCTGGGAATTGAACCCTTGAGCATGGTAAACACTCACCTACTACTGAGTTACACTCCCAGCCCCTAACTCAAGACCTCTCAGATCTCCTGCAGGACTCCTGCCCGATTCATAGACTTACTCCAAAGAGGGGATTTTGGCAGGAGAAAGGGAGACAGATCCTCTCCAATACCTGTCCCCCTTAAAAGATCAGGAACTTTGGGATTTGCAAAGGTGGGGGGATGCACGGGGGGGGGGGCAATAGAAAGTGTTGCTTTTCAGGTCTGGAAAAAACACAAGGGCTAATGACCAGGAAAAAACAAATACTAATTTGAAATCTTGGTTTGTATCCTATGCTGTGAAAGAGCATAATGCCAGCCCTCTAGGGTGACTAAGAGACTGGTTTCCTTTTCACTGGAAAAGTGACATTCTAGAAGGCACTTGTCTATGATATTTATCCTTTGTGCCCTTCTAACACAATGAAGAAAGAGAAATGGCGCGTGGCTGGCCTCTCACGGTTGGGAGTAACACTTAAGTGGTATGTTTTTAAAGCAGTTTCAGATCCTGATGCTTCAGGGGAACCCGCTGAGGAGACCAGGAACTCACTCTCCCCAGGAATCCCTCCAGTTTTGACACATCTGCTATTTGGTAGTCAGGATGGGGTAATACTCTGGACTCTGCCCACCGAGGTCATTCAACCTTCCCTCCACCCCCGCCTAGGAGTATTGCACAAGGGACCTGAAGGTGGCCACAGGAGCAGGGCACAGAAGCTCACCAGCCAGAAGCCTCCTGCTTTCCAAGCTCCAGTCTGTATAACTCTTGTCTGGATCTCCCCAGATTCTCTCCACACCATCTTGACCCGTCTTCAACCCTTCTCTCTTCCCCCACACCCGGTCAGATTTCTTTTTCCAGTCACAGAACTGCCTGTCGAAATTCACTAGGTAGGAGGTTCATCAGCTGGGAAGAACCGGCGCCTGGGGGGATCTGGCTGGATAGGTATGGGGGATCGAGGCCAGCCTCTTAGTCCCCATGGCGGTCCCCCAACTCTAAGCACACTCACTCTTCTGCTGCTCCTCTGTGGACAGGGTAAGGAAGGGTTAGGGGAAGGGCTGGTCACATCTAGAGGTCAAGCTGCAGGGGAGGGGTGGGCATGCAAGTACCTGTGAGTGAGGGGGAATGGGGGCTGAATCCCTGTCACTCGCCAGCTCTGGAGGAGGCCTGTCTTGTTTCCGGTTTACCTGGAGAAAGGACACATATGGAGTCCTTGAACTTTAGGGAAAAGAGGTCCGACTGGATTACACGCTTTTTAGTAGAGGAAAAGGGGGAAGGAGGCTAGGAGTAGGAGGGCTGAAGGTTGGGGCTGGGAAAGCGCCCACGCTGGGTGGTAGGAATGGCGGGGATGGAGGATGCCTTTTGGCAGTTAGGCGCGTAATGGACTCGGCTGGAACCTACTACGTGTGGGCACCGTCTCACTGTCCGCTCTCTTCCGTCTTCAGCTCAGTCCCAGTGCAAGATCCTCCGCTGCAATGCCGAGTACGTCTCGTCCACTCTGAGCCTTCGGGAAGGGGGCTCACCGGGCACGCCTCGCGGAGGCGGCCGTGGTGGGCTGGCCTCAGGTGGCTTGTGCCGTGCCCTGCGCTCCTATGCGCTCTGCACTCGGCGCACCGCCCGCACGTGCCGCGGGGACCTCGCCTTCCACTCAGCGGTGCACGGCATCGAGGACCTGATGATCCAGCACAACTGCTCTCGCCAGGGACCCACGGCCCCGCCCCCGGCCCGGGGCCCCGCTCTTCCCGGAGCTGGCCCAGCACCCCTGACCCCAGACCCCTGTGACTACGAGGCCCGGTTTTCCCGGCTACACGGTCGGGCCCCGGGTTTCTTGCATTGCGCCTCCTTCGGGGATCCCCATGTGCGCAGCTTCCATCACCACTTTCACACGTGCCGTGTCCAAGGAGCTTGGCCCCTGCTGGATAACGACTTCCTTTTTGTTCAGGCCACCAGCTCCCCGGTGGCATCCGGGGCCAACGCTACCACCACCAGAAAGGTCAGGGATTCAATTTTCCTCCTAATCCACCTTCTGAAATCCTCTCCCGTCACACCTCTGCTTGTTCTCACTCTTCTCAGCCGCCCAGATCCTGGTTCCTTGTCTTCCCCAAATATTCCCTTCCATCTTGAATGGCTTCCTTCTACTGTCAAACATTCACTCTTGCAAATCAAATCCTCTTCATGGGGATTTTATTCAAATGCAGGTAACACCGGGGAAGAGGTTGGAGTGGCAGCCAGGGCTATGAGAACTGAGGAGTCAGAAGGGACACTATTTTCCTAGGGGTTGAATAAGGGTCAGGTACAGTTGGAAGGCAATAGGGGATGGGATCAAAGACTGAGGACCATGGCGATGACACCTTGTATCTGCTGGGATCAGATCCCTGACAATGTATGCTGCTTGATTGCGGGGAGAATACATTGAGTCCTAATAAACTATTTTCCTCTTTGCCCGCACAGATCACCATCATATTTAAGAACATGCAGGAATGCATTGACCAGAAAGTCTACCAGGCTGAGGTGGACAATCTTCCTGCAGCCTTTGAAGATGGGTCTATCAATGGAGGAGACCGACCTGGGGGCTCGAGTTTGTCCATTCAAACTGCTAACCCTGGGAGCCACGTGGAGATCCGAGCTGCCTATATTGGGACAACTATAATCATTCGACAGACAGCTGGACAGCTCTCCTTCTCCATCAGGGTAGCCGAGGATGTGGCGCGGGCCTTCTCTGCTGAGCAGGACCTACAGCTGTGTGTTAGTGGCTGCCCTCCGAGCCAGCGACTCTCTCGCTCAGAGCGTAATCGCCGTGGGGCTATCGCCATCGATACTGCCAGAAGGCTTTGTAAGGAAGGGCTTCCCGTGGAAGATGCCTACTTCCAATCTTGCGTCTTTGATGTTTCAGTCTCTGGTGACCCCAACTTTACTGTGGCAGCTCAGACAGCTCTGGACGATGCTCGAGTCTTCTTGCCGGATTTAGAGAAATTGCATCTTTTCCCCTCAGATGCAGGGCCTCCTCTCTCCCCAGCAACCTGCCTAGTCCAGCTTCTTTCAGGCCTCTTTGTTCTGTGGCTTTGCGTTCAGTAAGTAGGCCAGCGACCTCGAGACTAGTTTGGAGCCGATTTGTGGGTAGAGGTTGGTGTAAGAAAACACTAAGAGGAGACAGCGGGAGACAGGGGGTGCAGGAGACAATGACACTCACCAGAATCAGACGAGGCCGCCGTCAGGGCTGCCATGATTCTAGAATAAGGGTTCTGGGCCAGGGCTTTGCATTCCAGACCATGGTAGGTAGGGACTCTTCACCGTGAATGTCCCCCGTCCCATTGGTCCACTCCACACACACCTGATATCACTCCTACAGGCCTGGAAATTGTGAGAGTGCTAGTGAACAGCAAAACATTAAAGCGTTGAGACTTCTTAAAGGCAAGAACTAAAAGCAGGAAGATGTGATTATCTTTAAGAAAATCAAGAGAGAAGAAAATGAGTAAGGAAAGCGTTTGGCCTTGTCTAGCTCTCAGACAAAGGAAGTCAGCTTCTGGAGACTAGTACCAAAGCAGAAACTGGCATTCCCATCCCTTACCAATCTGTTATTAAAGCTATGAATTCTCCACACTGTCCTGTCACCTGTGCTGAATCCCTTTATGGATGTGTGACCTAGAGTAGAGACAATGTGTTCACTCGACTAGAAAGGTCTCAGAATCACCAGCTATCCTATTTGGCCTTTTGGAGCTCACAGGCTATTAGACAAAACTGGATCACAGCAAGGAATCATGGGTACTATTATTATTTATTACCATTTGCTTTTTATTTTCAATGGAGCCTCATGTAGCCCAGGCTACCCTTGAACTGCTGGTCTGACTGTCTTTACTCCTCAAGTGCTGGAGTTAAAGTGCACTTACGTCTCCAAGGGTATCATTCCTCACCCAATTCTTCTTCTTCTTCTAGGTTTGTTTGTTTATATGTATACAGTGTTCTGCCTGCATGTCTGCCTGCAGGCCAAAACAGGGCACCGCATCTCATCACAGATGGTTGTGAGTCACCATGTAGTTGCTGAGATTGAACTCAGGACCTCTAGAAGAGCAGCCAGTGCTCTTAACCATGGAGCCATCTCTCTAGCCCCTCCCCCCCCATCCCGGACACATACACACACACACACACACACACACACACACACACACACACACACTTTTTGTTGTTGTTGTTTGAGATGGGGTTTCTCTGTGTAGCTTTAGAGCCTGTCTTGGAACTCACTCTGTAGACCAGGCTGGCCTTGAACTCACAGAGATCTGCATGCCTCTGCCTCCTGAGTGCTGGGAGTAAAGGCTTGTGCCACCAACACCCAACTACACTTTTCAATTCTTATTATTTACATTGTGTGTGTGTATGTGTACTTTACCCAGTGCTGTACCTTAAGTTACAGACAGTATGTGCATTTTGATGGTGTTTTTATTTAGTTTATTGTTTTACAGGGTCTTATGTAGGCAGAGCTGGGAATTTGCTGTTATAGACAAGGCTGATGCTCCTGCTTCCATCTCCCAAGTTGTGGGACTACAAGCCTGCACCACCATGCAGTTTATCCAGTGCCAGGGCTTTGTGTGTGCCAGACAATTGTACTACCAACTGAGCTGCATTCCCAGCCCCACCAACATGTTTATACAAAATTAGGGTTCTTGCTTAAAGAGCAACTTTATCCCTTAGATGTGGGGATGTCAAAGAAGAATTCCGTAACTATTTAGCTGATGACACTCTTTTATGACACCTGTCATATAAAACCCTTCCTTTGCTGAGTCTTGGGATTTTCCCAACTGGATGTTTAAAAATGAATAGCTCAAATAAACACAAGACAACCGGCCTTACTAATGATGAGATGCTAATCAGAAGGAGAAGCGCGATGAGGAAAGGCGGGGACGATGGCTCACTTTGGTGCTTGCTGCATAAGCTTGAGGATCTGAGCTCAGGTCCCCAGCACCCACCTAAAGCCTGGGCATGGTGATGCAAGTCTGTAACTCCAATCTAGGGGACTGGGGCAGGCAGTCCCAGGCTCAGGGCTCACTGCTCAAGCAGCTAGCAGACATAGTGACATTCAGGTTCAATGAGACAGCCAGTCTTAAAAAGCAAGGTGGGGTGGCAGTGAGGTGTTCAGTGGGCCCATGTGTGAATGTGGCAAGAAAGGCTGTGCTACTAAAATTCCTTCCCAGGGACATTAAGCACAAGCTACCCCTTTCTCCTAAGGTCCTGAGGACACACCAAGGCACGATTCTGCCAGAGCTCACTCTGGGGAACCAACAAGTCTACTGGGCTTCCTTACAGAGCATGGGTAACTTGGGAGGATTAACATACAGGGGTAGGGCACTCCTCCCCTTACCTGCTAAACCTGGAAAGCCTTACCCAGCAGGGGTGAGGGCTTTCCCATAGCCTCATAGAAGGATGGAGCCTCCCCTCCCTCCTCTAAATATTCTAACCCAGTGATCCTCAGCCTTCCTAATGTTGCCATCCTTTAATACAATTCCTCATGTTGTGGTGACCCCCAACCATAAAATTATTTTGTTGCTACTCCATAATTATAATTTTGCTACTGCTATGAATCATAATGTAAATATCTGATATGAGACCCCAAAGGGGGCTGTGACCTATAGGTTGAGAACCCCTGCTCTAGCCCCTACTCAGTTCCCTTACGCAGGGGACCATGGCAGAGGGGTGGTGTAAACCATTAAAAACACAGCTGGGATGATCTTTTGCAAAGGGTGCTGCTGAACTCCCCAAGATGACAACTGATTGGCTATAAGAGCAGCACTCACGTTAGACTGGCAGCTGAGCCTGAATTATGCAAAGGTGGAAGGGGAGAAACAAAACTGTCTTCTGACCTCCACATCTGGAACCTACCAGATGTGTGCCAGAGTGTGCATGACTACATACTCACAATAATTAAGAAGGTGGAGCATCCAGCTGGAGAGACAGCTGAGCAGTTCAAAGCACATGTTACTCTTGCAGGGGACTGACTCAGTTCAGTAACTAGCTTCTTGAGTTCTTTGTATATTTTGGAAATAAACCCTCTGTCAGATCTGAGGCTGGTGAAGACCTTTTCCCACTATGTGGGCTGCCGATTGGTCTTGTTGACTGTGTCTTTTGCCCTACAGAAGCTTTTCAATTTCAGGAGGTCCTATTTATTAATTATTGATCTCAGTGTCTGTGCTACCGGTGTTATGTTCAGGCCCCCCCCCCACCTACTCTTTTGAATTTAAAATTTTATATCCAGCTTTTTTGTTTTGTTTTGTCTTGAGACAGGGTCTCACTATGTAGAACAAGCTGGCCTTGAACTCACAGAGACCCACCTATCTATGATGCCCAAGTATCGGGATTAAATGTGTGTGATGCCTAGTGTCCTGCTTTTTGTTGTTGTTTGTTTATTTTGCCAACTTGACACAATCTAGTATTATCTGGGAAAAGGAACTTCAACTGAGAAAATGCCTCCAACAGATAATCTGTAAACAAGCTTGTAGAGCATTTTCTTGGTAAATAATTATTGTGGGGTGCCACTCCTGGGCTGTGGTCCTGAGTTGAATAAGAAATCAGGCTGAGCAAAGAACACATGGCACCAATTCCAGCCTCCATGTTCCTCCCTGAGTCCCTGCTCTGGGTGTGATCTGGAAATTGTAAACTGAAGCAAACCCTTACCTTCCTAAATTGTTCTTGATCGTGGTGTTTATCATAGCAACAGATACTTTGCAGATCCTACTCAGCCTTTTAAAGATTCATTTCGTGTGTGTGTGTGTGTGTGTGTGTGTGTGTGTGTGTATGTGTGTGCATGTGTGTGTGTGCAAATGCAGGGTTAGTTGGATCGCCCTAGAATGAAGTGGCAGGCAACAATGGGTCTCTTGACATGCATGCTGGGGACTGAACTGGTCTCTGGAAGATCTGAATGTGCTCCCTGCCCAGCCTTTATTTTTAGACTTATTCATTTTTATTTTATGTGTGTGAGCGTTTTGCCTGCTTGTATGTCTGTACACTGTGTGCATGCCTGGTACCTTGAAGGCCAGAAGAGGACATCAGACCCCCTGGAGCTGAAGTTATAGATGTTTGTGAGCTGTTTTGTGGGTGCTAGAAAGCAAACCTGGTTCCTCTGTAAGAATTGCAAGTGCTCTTAACTGCTGATCCATCTCCCCAACTCCATGCCCAGCTTTTAAAATGAGGACTCATGGGAATCAAAAGTTAGGACTTCATGCTTGCAGAGCAAATATTCTATCAACTGAGCTCTCCAGCCCTTGGCAGGTATTATTAAAGGTAAGCATACACTCTTGGCATCATGGAATCTGACTACAAGTCCAGCACATAGACAGCAGAGGCAAGAGGCTCACTACAAGCTCCAGGACAGATTAGTATATGCACATAGGTAAACAGGGAGCTCACCTTAGCCAGGGCTACATAGTATATTGGGGCAGGATGGGGGTAGGTGAGGAAGAGGGTAAGGGAAAGGAAGGAAAAGGGAAGAAGGGAGAGGGAGGGAGGGAGGGATGTGGCTCTCTTGGAGTGCCCGTTAATGAGCATGAAGTCCTGAGAGCCATCCCTAGCACTGCATAAAATGACTTCGTAATGCACTCCTCTAATCCCAGCACTTGGGAGGCAGAGGTAGGCAGATCTCTGTGAGTTCAAAGCCATCCTAGTCTACAGAGAGAGTTCCAGGACAGTTGGGGCTATACAGAAAAACCCTGCCTCAAAACCCACCCCCCCCAAAAAAATAGAAAGAAAATATCTGGAGGTAGAAGAATCAGAAGTTCAAAGTCATCCTCAGCTACATAGCAATGAGGCCAGCCTGAGCCACATGAGATCTTGCTACAAAAGGAAAGAAAGGGCTGGGGAGATGGCTCACTAAGTACTGGCTGCTTTTCCAGCGCCCATGTGCCAGCACACAGCTGTCAGTAACTCCAGTTCCTGCACCTTCTTCTGGCCCTCCGTGCGCGCCTTGCATGCATGCAGTACACACATATATACATGCCGACAAAATTAATGCACATGAAAGTAAATATTTTTTTAAAATGAAATGACAATAAAAATGTTTATTTAGCATCAATCTATTTAGGAACGATTCAAAGGAAATGACAATATGTCCACACAAATCTCTCGAGACACACTGGCAGTGTGTAGCCTTTCCTGGGAAGATGTGAATTCGTCTTTGCTTTCCAGCTGTGGCACCGGGGACAGAGCGAAATCGATTCCATACGAATGAATGTAGCTGGGTTGAAATGGTGACTTCACTGGGGTCACAGACAGGAGCATGGCTGACTCATGACCCATAGGTGGCAACTGTGAAAACTGCATTCCTGGAGCTCCTTGAACAACTTGTTTTACAAAACGAGCCTCCTTTCTCTAACAATTCCATATGTAATACTCAGAGATGCCTTGTGCATCTGGACATTTCTGATCAGAAGGCCCATACCTTCCATCAGCTTCTGGAGCATTCTTCTCGTGTCCAGAAGGAAATGTTTCCATTGGGAGGAAATTGCTAGAAACAACACCAACAAGTAAGGGACAGATAATCTGTGACTAACATGTAGAATAGGATAACCACTCAGCAATGGCATGAAATCACAAACACACGTAGGAACACACGGCAACAT